GGGGGTTACTATTTTTTAGAATTCATGTGAAGGGGGTCATTGAATTTTTTTGTGATGCAGAGGGTGGGGCAGGACATTTTGTTTAGTTGTTAATTGAATTTTGCCAGCCCACCCCCGGTCATAAATAATGAATGGTCCCTTATATTATTTCTTATTGTATAAAAATATGTGAATATTTAACAATTATTCGCCGAAGGTGAGGTGATTATTGGGAAATATTCGACGAGACGAAGTCGAGGTGAATATTCCCCGATAATCACCGAGCCTTAGGCGAATAATTGATTTAGTATTTTTGCACAAGATTTTTTTTTTCTGGTCTGAATTCATTTTAATTTCGCTTATATTTTCATCACTAACTTCAACAAAACGGCTAGCCGCCATTTTGAAAATTTCAATTTTGTTATATTCACCTGTAGATGAATATAACAGATTAATACATCAAATTTGACCAATCACCTTGTAGGATTTTTTATGTTCACATGTGCAAAAATACTAATTAGATATAATACAAAACAAATCAGCGCAAACAGCTGTAACCCATTTGAACGTCTCAGTTATTTAGTCAATGTTATTCCTTTTTTCAGTAACAATTAGAAAGGTTCTGAAAATTAGAATTAATTTATATTCTTCTTTCCCACAAGCTTTAAAAGGTGACAAATTTGCAAGTGATAACTAATGCCATTCTTGCACGCCAGCAACTTCGAAGAACAGTCTAATGTCACAATCAGGACTAAAGGCATTGAGGCGCGCATTTCGAGTGCAAAACCAAAGAATAATGATGAAAGACATATATTTACATAATCAAGCTTCATTCAGTGTAGTGTAAGGTGGTTTTATTTGTTAATGTCAACAATTAGGTTTAGCGATAAAGTATGCTCGATTTCGACACATTTTCAAATTTTACAAAGTTTGCGCGGTTGTCATTTTTGTCAAATGGTAAAGCAGAAAGATATTATTCCCAATTTGTGTTGACTAATGTTAGTAGTTTATAGAAAAGTTAAAGTCATGCGCCAATCAGGTGCCACGATTTTGAAATAGGCTTTCAAAATAAAATTGATATATTTTGAGACGATATCCGTCATCCGTTCAGGAGGGTCATAACTGCGCTGTTTTCTATTTTATGCCAAAGAATAATTATCTAAGTCATATCACCAACGAAAATAGAAGGATAAGTCTATATTTCTGAGCAAAAATTTTGAACTTTAGGTATGCATTCGATTTTAATAATAGCGCTGAAAATATGTCGATATTTTGCCTTCATTTGGAGTTCAGGTTGGTTACCAGTCGATCGAACATCAATCGCCCCCAAAAATAATTTAATAAAGGAAATTTGAGTAAAATGAAATCGATTTTAGTTGTTCCCAAGGATAGATCTTCAAAATACTAGAGTGTGAGAGAAATCTATTTTTGAGCGCCATATTGACCTGGAGGTTTTTACGGAGACAGCCTCTTAAGGATTTGAATGTTCGGATTTTTTGGGTAGGGGTATGAGCGAAGATGCAGGTGGTGGTGGAGAATGTGACTTCAAGTACCAAATGCAGTGTCGTTGGAAGCAAATTCTTATTGTTATATAGTTGATGTCAAAGTTCAATTTTTCTGTTTGCCGATTGGTCAGAACCGTCTCACGTGCCGGTCCACAAAACGTCATGTTCGGCAACCGGTCCGCAATGAAACATTTATTGACCGGTCAATAATAAAATGGGTGCAATACGCATGCGTGTCAACCATGAAGTTCCAGGTTCATTTTTTAAACTTTTTACTAAACATTTACGGCGTTCCATTTATCCAGTTTTGGTTTCAAATTAAGTTCACTCCAATAACCGGTGAATTATTCATACATTGACACTTATATACTATATAATAAAACACTTATTTACTGAGACATTGGGAAAGTAGTGTGTTTTGTGGCCCCTCGACCGCCGTCTCGGGTCCACAAAACACACTGTTTTCCTCGGTCTCAGTAAATAAAAGATAATTAGGGGACGCAACCGCGGATAAATATGTGGGTTGTTTTAAGCCTCTGGAAACCGTCTGTGGTGTTTCCTGAGAGGAATTTTGATAAAAGTTATGACGGTTGCACCCACAAAACTCTCACTTCCGACGACCCTGTAATAGTACGGAACGACGTCATATCATCACCAATAACAAAGATGTGAATAACAAAGTTGGGAAAACCAACATTATATAGTGCTAATTCTAACGGTAGCTACGTCATAATAGTGTACCGTCTTAATAAATTTCGAATGATAAGGAATAATAACCTGTCATGCATGGACGTTGTCTTACTAGCCACATTATAGATGCTTTTATTCCCATTTTGCCCAATCATGTTTCGTAAAGAATTTGTTTGCTAACATGCCCGTAATTATTTGTGAAAAATGATTTGAAATTGTTAGCTGTCCTTTGATTTTCTTTTGTATGCAAAAAAATCAACCTAGGCAGTGTGAAGGATGGCAAGAGTACAATAAAGATTTGTTTATTCCGCTTAATTTGTCATTTTTCTTAAAATTTATCGGCCATTTGAGTTCTACAGTATATTTACGTCGGTGAGCTGCCTAGGGTGACCACTTAATTGAAATTGGTATGAAAATAATGCAATTTATGTTCAAGATGATGCGAATAATACCCAAAATAGTGCCAGGGAGTAGGAGTTTATTATCGTACTAATTTGGACCAATGCGATTGCTAGAAATGCCATTGATATCCAAATTATAATCATAAAATACTTATTTCTTTCATACGTTTCTTTTTACGGAAATAAATATCAACACTAGAATGATAAAAAATTGATAATTGCTTTTCATAGATAAGAACATCACACTTCAACTCAGAGGAACACGATGACATTGGAAATAGCATCAAGATACGCCCATCGACAATGGATACCAAATTAAAGCTCCCAAATGGAATAAAGTTGACTTTCGGCCAAATAGTTTCATTAGCTGGCGATTATTATGGTGCTATTAAAAATCCGATAATTATTCCCTGCCAAATGTTGAAGCCTTTCAATGCAAAGCAAGGAAGAAATAACCGCAAGAGGTTCTTGAAAGCCTTTGGAAAACTTGCTCGTAAATCTGGAAGACATATTCGAGCTGAAGTCAAAAAACTTGTTAAAATGATCACCGATGACCACAAAGTACAAAAATCTGGCAAGGGAAAGCTTCATACTGATAGAGAATGGGATGAGGTTACTGGTGGGAGATGGATACGATTTCCATTTCTAGGAGATATCCCGAAAACTTGGGGCAGAATGTTAAATCTTGCCGCAAACAATACCGACCACTTTCAACCCCAAGCGATGGAAGCTTACCTCGCAGGTCATCAGTGTGCTATAGATAGAGCTCGTCGAGCAGGAATGGAAAAAGATAGAAAGAAGAAGATGAACTTGCTGATGGAAGCTTACTCCATGGAAGCGTTTGCAGGCCATTATCTTTCTGACTGCTTCTCAAGCGGTCACATCAGGTATGAGTTATATTTTCTGAATACAAATTAATATCGCTTCTTAAAAAAATTGAAATTGCAAGAGAAGACAAGTTCAGGCAAAATAAACGAAAATAATTAATTATATACTTAATACAGTATCTTTTCAATGTAGAAACACAACAATTAAGGTTATAGGACACCCTTTAAATCTGGTTCAGAAAATTACGCACTGATACAATTTTTAGCTATTGCATACTCACTTTTTACCCAATCGACCTTAAATGTTTAAGTACTAGATAAAACATTAGCAGCCGATCTGTATCTGATATACAAACTCGAGCTGAAGGCGAGATGTTTTATCGTACTTAAAAAATGACCCATCTAATGAGTTCATTTGCGAAGTAATTTTAAAAATAAACATTGTCTAAGCCGAGAAAATCAGAGCTGAAATTTATGTAAATCAGGACAAATCTTTATCCGATTTACAAACATTGATTAAACATTCATTTCTTTTGTATTTTCCTCGTGAAGTATTAATGAATTTCTAAATTAATCTTAATTTTCTGTTACAATTGTTCGTACAGTGTGCTAAGCATTTTAGGTATGATATTTAGGTACATCTCATTTTCAAGAGCTGTACTAACATACAGTAACTACAATTATGATTAAAACAAATAAGTATACTGTACTAATAAAAGCAGTAAACTAGAAATACATTTTACAGTTTACCATCACTGGACGTAGGCCCGCGTTACACGTCATCTCAAGTGTTGCCATAGCATCATGATTATTTTTATATAATTTTTAAAATTTCTTTATATTCTTTAAATAAAACATAAGTAATAAAACATAATAAAATTTAATTATTCTGAAAAACATTTTGAAATCCAAAAAACATATTAGTTAGTTTATCAGACAGGGTCGCCGAGAGGTTGGCGGGGGCCCGGGGCAAATTTTTTCCGGAAATATTTTTTTTTGGAGAACAACCTCCCCACCCCCCGTCGACAACTTTTTATGTAAAAAAAATTTCCGGACGAGTACGTTGCAATTGCTTCCAACGACTTTATCTCAATTTTTCATGCCAAATTTCTGTACTTAGCCCAAAAAAAACCAGATATCTTGTCCTTTGCGCGGATATATTTAACACACAAAAAAGACTGGTCCAACAAAAAATTTCCAAGGTCCAGCAAAAGGTCCAACGAAAAATTTTTCAGGTGCCCCCAGCATCTCGGGGCCCGGGGCAATCCACCCCCCTCGGCGGCCCTGTTATCAAATACTTACTAAGTGTAAATATATTTATGGTAGGACCAGGTTGTTGAATTGTTACGTTGACGAGCTGAACGCTTCTTCAGAGATTGCTGTATTTGTTAAATTGTCTGATAGTTTCCGCATATAATATACATTAAAAGCGCAATCCGTATAAAGAACCAAATACCGTATTTACTCGATAATACCGTATTTTACGACGAGTAAATAGCGTAATCAAGAAGCCATATATAATGTTTAGTTTGCCATAGAAGAACCGCGTGTGTGTAGTCCGTTGCAAAAAAAAGTAGCATTTAGTGTTTGTGACATTTTATTCGTCCCCGAGCAAACGACGCGAAGCACCGTTTCGGGCGTAAGCCGGGCGAGGGTGTTATTCCGCTTGGAGAGGTTACGAAAAAATACAACTCTACAGGTCTTTTGGCAAGAATCGAATCTGCATTCTGGCGATTCTGTTGCATCGCTCTGCCCGTTTCCTACATATTGACATCAGTTTAGTATATATACATGCATGAACTTGCAGTTAGAGCTCGACAATTACACTCAGCCGGTTATAGCGCTGTACTGGAATGGTACGGGGACGCAGGTTCGATTCTTGCTTAGGAGCCTATAGAGTTGCATTTTTCGCAACTCCTTCTGATTAGGATTAATAAATCTTATAGCGCGGTTGGCTCTGTTTCGCTTGATTTACCGCGGTGATTAACTGGCGTATTTACTGTGAATTGCCACTTCAGGGAAGAACGCCGGGATTATATTATATAATTCACGGGATTATATATATAATCCCGGGGGATATGATGAATTTACAATTGCCTAAGAGGTAACTACAAACTCAAGCCCCTAATCTCCTTTTCGTCTATATAAACACTGTACCGTCTATCTATCATCCAATGCCTAAGGATTAGCTGGATCAACAGCCAAAGTTCTTACACTTATGCACTCAGCGAATTTATACAAAAACTTTTGCTTTTTCACTTGTGGGATGTTGAATGATAAGATGCGCATTACCATTCGGATTAAAGCATCTACAGTGCGCATGTTCAACCAGTTCCTATGTCCCGCAAGCACGAGAGCTGTTTGGGTAACAAAACCTCGCCAATTATGCTATAAGTCGGTTAAACACCTCGAACGCCTTCGGCCCTCGGGATTTATCTGGCTTAAAGCCTCCGTTCTTGGTGTTTAACCTATACTAAAAACTTACCCTCGAAATTTCGAACTGCAAAACCCTTTACTCCCTGAGGCAACGGCGCGAAGCGCCATTTCGGGCGTTAGCCCGGGGCGAGGGTACCAATTTCGCCCGGCTATTTATGCCCGGGAAAACGAAAACATTAGCGAAGTTCATCAATGATCGCGGGCGTGCGTGACCCACGGTGTTTGGGCGTTGGGTGTGTGGTGATCCTCACTGATCTCAAAAATATGGTGGACTGTCATGAATAGCGAACACTGATTGGTCAAATTTAAAATTTGCATTATAACGACTGCACGACGACAGCGAATGAGCAAACATTACTTGATTTGATGACTTCTGACATTTCTTGCAAATATATTTCATTTATGCAAGATTTTGTGAATATTGAAAGCTTTTTAAGAAAATAAAGGCGAAAGAATTGCGAAAAGAAGGGAGTAAAGGCGCCGACGTAAGCGAAGGTAGGTTTGTTTTAAATATTGATGTATTTATTGTTCGCTTTATAATTGCTTAATAAAAGCTGATCGTCGCGTATATTTTAAATGAGAACGATATCCTTTTTTATTATATTAAAATTTTTAACTAAAAAAGAAAGCAAAGTTGTTTGAATGCGAGAATTTAAATCATTATATTGCAAACTCAAAGTTTTTTTATAAAGGCAGTTTAGTTTTATAAAGAACATTTTATAACGTCTTGCGAAGCGTTTGAGGTTGAATTTTACCTTAAATTGAAGCTTATAGTAAGTATAATAACATACCTAACGTATATACAGCTATTTCATTTAACGTTGTCCACCAGCAAAGCGGAAAGGTCGAATACGAGGCGAAAGGATGCTGGGAATCGCTAACAAATTAATGAATTTGCATATGCAAATTTATTAATTTGTTAGCGATTCCCAGCAGCCTTTCGCGCTCGTATTCGACCTTTCCGCTTTGCTCGTGGACAACCTTAATTGAAATAGCTGTATATGTTTGGGTCGAATTTATAATTTTGCAATTAAAAGTTATATTTTTAGCGGATTTTTCATTTGTAAAAATATTCTTAACAAAATTATCGTGTTACCCTGACAACAACTTTAAATACTTTATGTTCATGGAATACAATGGTTTTGTCAGAAAGGCGAGGGTTTCTGCATGCATGTATTTTCTAGTTATTAGTTATACGTATACCGAATGCGATTCTCGAAATCCAGATTTTTAGAGTTTTTGTATACTCTATAATATATCATGTTTTAATGCACGTAGCTACGTTTGACGCATTGCATTTTCAATGGCCACCTCCCGTAAATATGGTACAATGTCTGACAAGCAAAGTAAAGAAAATTTTACCATCTGAATCTGATGCGGTAAGCGAATTACGTCTGTCTTTTCCTCCATTCCTTTTAATGCTCCTTTTCTCTAGCTTTCATACGCAACATTATTAAAGCTTAACACGTCTTTCAACTGCAGAATTTCCATCTTCAGAACTTTCTTGAAATTATCCGTATAATTTTATAACCTAAACTGGTTTTCAACCAAGTAAATAGCTCTTAATATTCTCATGATTTAATCCAAGTAACGGACTCGTTACTTTATCCAAATTGTATAGTTGGTGACTGTTCCAAAAATCCTGATATTTTGGCGTTTTTCATAATTGAGAGAGTCGATGTTAAATTAATAGCATATTATTGTTATTTGTAAAAACATTGTATTAATTGCCGTGTTCATGCAATCAAGTTACTGGGAAAGTCCAGGACTTCAGCCACACAAATAATAAAAAATATATCCAAATATTAATGAATAAACCAAATATCCAACTATATCAGTTTAATTAATATTCAGAAATAAAACTGTTTTTGGCCGCGGTAAACGGATAATGTTTTAGTTTTGCAATGTTTCTTGTATACACACACGCATTCACAATGGCTCCCTGTGTGAATTTATTGCTTTATTTGCTGTTTTCTCGATTGCTGCTTAGAATATAAACACAATGATGGAATGACAGACTCAGGAATTAGGATTAAAAAATTATTTTTATCTCGCATTAATTTGTTCAGCAAATGGCTGAAATGATTGGTAAAATTGAATGTAAAACTATTGCTGGAACGCCTCGAAATAAAAGTGTTAACATAACTTTCACTTTGCAAGTTTCCAAAACACAATGCAGTATTACAGCGTCAGGACACCATAGCCTACAGCGCAATGAAAACATGACAAAATATCGGACAATTTGAGATATCTATAGAATGCAAACCAAAATGGTTTTAATTAAAAAAGTATCATGGCAAGGTTTTTGCCAACAATCGGGATAGTTTTTGCTATTTGTTTGAAGTGAATGTTTCGGAGTTTTAAATTAAATAGTTTTAAACTGTCCGTGAATATGTTTGACACAGTTAAACAGTAAAAGATTCGCACCTTTCAAGTTAAATACAGCATTTTGTGTTTCGTTCGTTACCTGGGGACGATTTTTTCAATATGTCGATCGTCGAATTTTATAACAAACGTACCTGCAGGGAGGTGAGTTCGGGATTGGACGCACCAAGGGTGGCTGGCTGGTCCAATCCTGGACTCACCGAACCTGCAAGTACATTTGGTTTTTATCCCATACACCGAGCCATACACACATTAATTTTGTGGCTCTTCGCGATATATTCGTCGATGTTTTGTGAAAATTTTCTCGGCCAAAAAAATCACTGGGCAAGAAAATACTTCTTTATCTACGTCTACATTACCTTTACTGCATTTTTTCTTTGGCTTTTCTTCAGTCTCAGTATGTTAGTCACCGAAAAAAGCTCTTTAAAGTTTAGGTTTATCGGCTAAATCTTGTCCGCCATATTTGTTATTGTTATTGCAACGTAAGCAGTTTAGCGGGTGAGTTCGGGCGAAAAGCAGGTGAGTTCGGCAAAAAGCAGGTGAGCTCGACGACAAGCTCACCTGCTCTAAACCAATCAAAAAGTCGCTTTTAACACAGGTATGGGATAAGAAACCAAATTTGCCGAATCGTCCCTTCTGAAAAGGATTATTTACTAGTCTACTGGCAAATAATGCGTCAGATTTACTACTTAACTACAATCAGAACGCGCAAAAGCTAATTTGATATGCAAAATTTATACTAAATTGTACTATTAGCTATACTATTACTCAGTGGCGCCGCCAGCGCGATAATTGGGGGGGGGGGGAATATTCATATCTTCGTGTTCTGCATTATTAACTTCTTTTGAAAACTATTGTTTTTATGGTCTGTGAACACAAATATATGAATACTCCCCCCCCACCCAATTATCGTGCTGGCGGCGCCACTCCTATTACTATACATTACTAGAGTATTAGTTTAGGTAATAGCGTGGTTTTAAAGGGTATGAGCAACAAACATTTTATTGCTTCATCTGAAAGAGCATGAAAAAATAAGCCGATTGGCCTTTTGATGCTCGATTCTATCTCATCTAGATTTACTATGGGAAATCGTGAAATATACGGCAATTTTCCTTTGAATATTTAATGTTTCCGAATTTTGTTTCTTTAATTAACTTTTTGCCTAAAAACATGAACTGTTTTCCTTTTCAACGAAGCTTTAATTTTCATAAATTACCGTTTAATTTGAGGAAAAATCTTAAAATGTAAAGGAGAACAAATTGATTTGAAGACTGAACTGAAATTACCTAACAATTTGTTTTATTTGTAACTTATTATGTTTTATATTTATTAGTTTATCGGCAAATGATCTATAGTTGAATGAAGATTTCAAAACATTTTACGAAGCGTTTCAAGTTAAATTTTACATTAAATCGAAGCTTACAAGATGCAAAATAATATACCTACAGTATATAATATGGAAATATATTGTTGTATAGTTAAAAGTACGAATCTTTGAACTATTTTGCAGTTTTGTACAAAAAGTATGAAAAATTAAAAATTTAAGAATATCGTGTTGTCATGGCAACACTTGAGCGCGAGCCTGCGTTCAGTGGGCCATTTCTGAATACTTCATGTTAATTTAATGTTTGGAAAATATTGGCGAGGGGTTACTGCATGCATGTATTTCTAGTTGATGAACTTTAGACTCCGCTAATGCTTTCGTTTCCCCTTGTGTAAATAGCCGGGGGGAATTAGTACCCTCGCACGGCGCCGTCGGCTCGGGGACAAGCTGACGTGGGACCTCCAAATTTCTTCTGTTGTTGCCAAAGTAAACAAGACACTTGGCTTCCTACGACACTTCGGCGTTTCCTTAACTGGGCCTGCCCACAGAAGGTCGATGTACTTATCACTGGTGCGCTCCCACCTAAGTTAAGCTAGCGAAATCTGGGCTCCTCAGTCATGCAGAACGGACTTAAAACTATTGGAGAGTGTGCAGAGGCGAGCTACGCGTTTCATCCTCAACTGCAGCAACGATCATCATGTCCGACCCGACTACAAGTCCCGCTTGATTACTCTCAACCTGCTTCCTATTTCCTACTGGTTGGAGTGTCGTGACTTATGGTTTGTTTACAAGTATATGAGCGGTTCATTTAATGTACAGCTTGAAGATTACATACAAGCCTCAAGTGGTCGCACCAGGAGCTCTACTGATAGTTTAAATCTGTATCCAGTAAACCGTCTCCGTACTTCTTTATTTAGAGACTCCTTCTTCAATCGTGTTGTAAAGCTTTGGAATAATCTACCACTTGAAAATCGCAAATCATCTTCCATCAGTGCGTTTAAATCTCGTTTATATAAACATTATTTTATAAAGTTACGGAAAGTTTTTGATACGGACAGATTAAGTACGTGGAAGACAATATGTCCTTCTTGTACGTCTATTGACAGCCCTTCCTGTTGTTAGTTACTAAGCAGCGAAGGTGTGGTACTAAGGAGAATGCTACACTGTACCATCCCGGTCTCTTCCTCAGATTGACTGTACAATATGCATCCTTATCTTAGAACCAGAATTAGGGTTAGTACTATAGCGCATGGGTTAAGATTATTTTCCGAAATAATTTCCATCAATTATTTGTTTCAAGTGGCCGTTGGTATGTGCAGTCAACCTGAGCGAGAGACTGGGCTGTCTGTTCAGTGGTATTAGAGAACTTTTATTGAAGTTTTGTGTTTTCTTAATAGTGTAAATTTCTAGTTATAATTTATGTGCGGGGTTTGCCTTGTTGGGACTTCGAGTCCGTTCGCCGATCCCATATCTAACTCGCCTTTGTTGTAATGTCTTTTGTTTTGTTCTCATTTAGCATTGTAAATTTCGCGAGTTCGATTAAAGCTTCTTATCATTAAACATACTTACCCAACTAATGACGTCACACGTTGTGCTGAATCAGCAACTTATATTTTGCACATTTTTGCGTATAACTTCGGAACTAGGTGAGATAGAATAGAGCATTAAACGGCCAATCGGCTTATTTTTCATGCTCTTTCAGATGAAGCAATAAATTTTTTTGTTGCTCATACCCTCTAACTTATACGTTTATGGCGAACATATATTCCAGTGGCAATGTTTTCCTGGCTTTGTTATGTCACATTATACAACGCTATATAACAGCTTGAGAATTCAACTGAACAGTATAAGTTTTGTTAGTCTCGTTTAAGGTAAAGGATTTTCCATTTAAAAACAAAGCTAAAAGCCATATTTTCCACGCGAAGTCAACTTTTACTTCACGTAGCGCGCGCCATGCTTGTTTTGTTTTGCAGCAATCTGTGACCGTTACGTCTTTAAACTAAACTGTTTTAAACTGATTGGTTGATTTTATCATCACAATGTTTTTCTAGCAATCAGATCAGTTTGTTACAGATATTTGCACTGTTGTTACAGATTTTTGCACTGTTGTTATAGATTTTCGCACTGCTGTTTGTGATTAACTGCACTGAAATCGACCAATCACAGTCGAGTAATATTTTTATGTATATTATTATATATTTAATTAATTGGTTAAGTAACTGCCTGTATGTTCCATGTTGAAATATGTTTACCTACCGCTAAAATTTATGTGTTTTCCTCATATGTAGAACACCGAGAGCAGAATTACAAAAATTTCGGCAATCGTCACGTTGGCTCCTCAACAAAATATATCCTAATATTGGAGCCTACCTTAGCAAAGAGATGCATGACGAAGACTGCAAATATGGCTTGCGTGTTAAAAATAAAAGAGGAGAGAGGTGGACAGCATACGGCGATAAATCTCTAAATCGTAAAAAAAATTCCCGTAACTACAAATTAGTCGTAGAGGCAATGCAGAAATCCGCAGATCAAGTGTACAAAGCATTCAGGAATCCTACTGCGAAGATCAGTTCAAAAATAGTAACGGATATCATACCATTTGTTGATCCAGAGGCGAAGAACAACACTCCTTTGTTTGAGAAAAAGAATGGCATATGGTACTACCGTTCAAAACTTGATTTACAGAGCAAAAAGATAAAAAAACTCGGAAGGGGAGTTTGGGCCGCATGGTATTTGTGGAATAATCCGGATCGTAAAAATTCTGTCAATAAATAGAAACAAAGACACTGAAGATGTTGAAATCTTTGTATTAACCAAAATAGTTTTGAAATAAATATAGCAGGCCTTCTGCTACATGGATATGGTTTTTATTCTTAATTTGAGTGTGTATGTGCTCGTGTCAGGGAAGGACAGTGTTTTTAGACTTTTAATACACGATAATTTATCCATGAGAAATTATTGTAAAGACAAAGGCCAAAGACCAAAGGTACAAAATACAATTTTTTGTTGAATTTGAATAAATAATGATACATGAGGTATATATACGAAGGTCTGTTTTGGCTATCATAGTTAGTCTAAGATGTCACTATTAAAATTCTAACCCCTGCATGAATACTTCACTTCAGTTGGCAATGAGTGTTGTATCACATCTAAGACTGTTGTTTACTATCTTACTACTAAATTTTCTAACAATTAATTCAAGAGCTCGTGGGAACTCTTTTGCACTAAACAAAATGTACCAAATGGAATATACTAAATAGCAAATAGTAAATAGGATATACTAAATTTTCAAAAATCGTTCATACAAACCACGTACGAGAAAATAAAGGAACATATACAATGTCTTGAATGTTGAAATACTCCAACTTTTTGCCGCTGCCGATATATTCTTCCAACCACTCTTCAGCTTCGTAATCAGGTCTTCTGCGCTTATTGCTCTCAGAAGGCATGGAATAATCAAAACCGAAACACCAAATCGGATCCTGCGGCGGAATTTCCCGTAACCGAATTTATCGGAAACAAAGTTCTTGTAACAGAAAATGAAGTGTCCTTTTTCCTAATTTCAATTAAAACAACCAATGCAGTCTGCCCTGCATGACAATATCCCGAATAAGTTGCAGAAGGATTTAGCAGACGAATTAACACCGGTGATTATGGATATTTATAACCAATCACTATGAGAAAGCTATATTTTACCAATACTTAAATCCACAATTGTCAATCCTATCCCAAAAATCTCGATACCTATAAAGATATAGATAGCGATTTCAGACCTCTGTCGCCTGTACCTTAACCAAAATTATGGAAGGTTTTACCTATATACGATTGCCTTTTTACATGGTTGTAGCCTGCTTAGCAGGCGTTTAGTGCGGGCGGGAGAAGAGAGGGCGTCATCGAGGAAACGCCTGCCCAAATGACTGACAAATATGTTTTTGACCGAAAAAACGTCGACTTTAATTCTCATTGGTCTATCATGTTGACGGAAGTAATTACTTAACTCAAACAATACTTTGGATCACAGTAATTGGCCTGAAGCTGTTGTGATTTCCTGCCACATTTGTAATGTAATATATAAAATAATTAACAGTTATTCTAGGAACTCGAGTCGAATATGAGCTGATAGCCGATGAGGCGCGTAGCGCCGAATCGGCTATCGCTCATATTCGACGAGAGTGAGTGGAATAACTGTTTTATTATATACACAAGGTCTGAATTCACAGACTTGGCTTTTCGAATATTTTCAATATTTTTCTATTTTGTTCTATTTTTATCTTCGCTCTTTCGGCCGATTAGTTTTTTAAAAATATATATTTTTAACTATTTTAAATTTTAAAAATTAATTTGCTAAAGTGTAAACAATTTGTGGGGTTTTTTTCATCGTGTTTTTAACCCTGTGAAAGCTATAATAAGTGAACAACTTGCCGTTTTCTCGTTCGCAAAACATCGGAAATTCAGTTTGAGCCGCCATTTTGTTTTTCTCTACTAACAGGATATGAGCTAATATCCTGCTAGTAGAGAACCAATCAGATTGCAGAATACCTCATATCCAGACCTTGTGTATATAATAATTATTGTTATTTATCATGTATACTTTAATTAAAATTAAAAAATAAAATGCCAACAACGATTTGCCCGAGTGTATATTCTCTTAAAAATATGGCATTTAACTGATTGGAAGAAACTCTTTCGGATATTTCAAGTATTTTAGGCTTTGAAATTCAGTTGAAACCATAACAGAGAAAGGCTATTATTAATTTGCTACGTGGCGAAGATGTTATCGCGATTTTTCTTACGCTACGGGGTACAGAAAAGGTTTGATCTTTCAATTGTACATTATCGCCAAATCAAACTCTTGCTAAAATATTGCAGCAAGAGCAGAGATCGGATATATCTTATAGTTGTCTTGTTACTTGTCTTCTTGAAAGTATAATTCAAGACCAGATAGCTGAGGCTATACATCACTTAATTGGCATTCCATGCGGCTATGGAGTTGGACAATGATTTTAAGAATAACATTTTAAAACATTTGTTACGGCAGAAAACGTTAAACACCCGTGGTTCAGGAGCCTTTTAAGGGATAAAAGCTCTGTGTTGTCTAAAATAGCATAAAATCTCTAGTTGCCGAGCAAAATACATGCATGGTGCTAAATATAAATCTCTACTATGATTGGATAGTGGGTTAACCGGCAAGAGTGCTAATTACAAAATATCAATCGCATTTAATGTGCGAAAACACATTAAAATATTTTCTCATAGCCATTTAGGCAGGCGTTTCTTCGACGAGGGATCAAGTTATGAGTTATTTTAGATTGGAACTTGCGTATTGAATTGGTAGATGACACATTAACCATGGAGATAATACCCTGCACGAACTCGATTAGCTTGCTGGATATTGCGTTCAACACTACAAATAATGTTGCTGTCTCACGTAACACGCAATTAAATCCCGGAAAATGTAAAGAAATTTTATTTAGTTTCATCAACCTCGTTCCCAG